TGAGTTCGGTCTTTCTTCGTGGACGTATCGTAATAGATAGTCTGAGTTCACAGTTGGAAGAGTGGCCGACTGTCGATCTCTTTTCGTAACGCAACGAACTCTCGACTGAACTTCGAATCCGATCTCGCCGTTCGTGAAGCTCTTACCGTCTCAACCTGTGCTCTCTCACGCGACGGGCCTAAGTCTCGGCCCGCTAAAACCGAAATTCACGTCAGTGTTCGGCTTTTTTAGCGTTCGCGGCTTTTGTCGATTTAATAATTGTTATAGTGTATCTGTGTACTTTGTTGCGCTTAAATTTTTATCGAGCCTCGACAACCATATACAATTCAGAGTCCGAGGTCATCGCGTATGAAGATTTCCGTCGTCCGCGGCAAGATCTCCTGCGGATGAGAGATTCCACAAGATTTCCGTCGCGATTAATGTGACCCGCCGACAGACTCTGAGAAGATTTCTGGTGTACGGAGCGAACAAGTCGAGCTCGAAGATCAATTGGAACACTGATCGAACGCGCTACTACAATAAAGGTTCATTTAACCGGGGATTCCGATGTGAGTTAATCTTTCATTGCACCATCTCATCTCTCGTTCCTCACGTCACCAGGCCTCGTACGAGGCCGAGTCGACATAATCTGCTCGTAACGAAGCGATTCTGATACAATAAACGATTATAACCATAATTGTAAACGGGAAAAAAATATACATAGAATAAAAATCACGTACAGAATAGCGAAAATCTCGTTAGACACTCCGTTTTCTTTTTCCATGGGAGAAGGGATGTTATAATCGAAATAATTATTCACTTAAACTTTTATAACGCTGTCAAGAACGCCTCAAACAACGTTCCGACAGCGTTACCTTGAAGAGGCGGAAGTGCAAGCGTTGTAGAAAAGCACCGCCTTGCACATTCCGCCGACCGAACTTTGAATAATCAGGCGATCACCTCTGTCGCCAAGCCATCCCCCTTAATGAGAATTCGGAGTAGTATAAAAGACAGGAGCCGATAGCGCGGACGGGCTTCATTATTATTTTTCGCACACTTAGTTGCGGACCGCGTGAGTAGACCATATAACTCATCTGTAAAACGTAGGCGCCACGAGGGGCGGGAAGGGCTACCCCGCGGTGCCTCGCGAGGAAACCGCAAGCGATGGGCGCGGGAGCACAGGGACAAGCGGGGAACCGAACATCCCCGCCACCTCAGGGGGCATATTCGTTTTTAAACTTCTTAATCTGTCAATTGTTTCAGCGCGAACGAGGGAATAGGCGGGGCGTGTGGAATCAGCCAGCAATATCGAGAGCAACAATTTGTTAATCCGATTGAACGCTGTTGACGCGATGCATCAGGGACATGGGGCGCGTTAGTCTTTAACCGACCGTTGGACAAATTTAAAAAAGTCTTAATCTGTTAGCTGATTGAGTGCTATCGGCACGATACGTCAGGGAGATGGGGCACGCGTCAACCGGCGGTGCGCGCGCGATAAAGAGGGAAAAATAGCAGAGGTCGCGCGCGACCATGTTCGAAAAACTCTTAATCTGTTATCTGATAGAGTACCATCGACATTAGTGAGATGGGACGCGTCGGTCCAACCGTGATAAAGAGGAGAAAATAGTGGAAGAGATCGTGCGCGCGCGATTATCGGCCGCGCGACCAACTGAACAAATTGAATGTTGTTCGAAAAGGAGCAAAGGTTAGGAGCGCGCGAAAGAAGTGGGTCTAAGGTCACGGCCGCGGCGGCTGTAGCGGTATCGCAAAGCGTAGGTTTTCGCTGATTTTGCTCAGACAAGGAAGAATGCGACGTTCGCACTTTCTCTCTGCGGCTGCATCGCAAAGCGTAGTGTGTTTTTTATCGCTGATTTTGTTAGGTCAGATAAAGAAGGATGCGACTGCGATGCGATATCTTCGTTGCACTTACTCACCGTTTTTGCATATAACATCTCGCAAAATGTATAACGAAGGGTCAGTCTTGCCGATATCGTATGCATGCTGGAATTGGTGGAAAAAGAAAATAACGACGGATTTATATTGTTACGAATCGTTGATACTATCGTCTGAGTCGAATAGTAGCGACGATGACGATATATTCGAAACTCCGATATATCCGAAACGCCGATCTAAATTGTGAGTTGATAATTAACAAGAAGGATTTTCGTTGAAACATGTCGACGTATTTTTTGCGTCGAGCGATTGGAGCGGAAAGTGTTCGAGAGAATTTGTGGTTGGAAACAGTAATTCATGGTAGTACGAGAGCAGAAAATTATATCAGACGAAGTCCGCGAATATTCCGGAAGAGAGTAAAATTTCGGACTCCCTTTGACAGTTGGGGACGGACTTTGTGGTTACATCCTCGTCGCGACATAACGCGTGAGAAAGAGAAGAGATAAACGATGTTGACGAAAACGATCAATATCAATCACTTGTTACGAATTACGTCAATACGATCGGCAAATTCAACATCTGGGATCGAGAATGCGCGAGAAGAATGAAACATCTGCATGAGATATGTGCGGGCGGTATTAAAAGAAGAGGAAGAAGAGGAGGAGGAAAGATTAAAACGGGAAATGTATACTCCGCGATCCCCTCTATCGCACGGTTGGAAAAAGCAAGAAACCTTACCAAGATCGTCGATGGGAGCGGAACAGAGTACGTCGCAGCAGCAGCAGCAGCAGCCGTTGCAGTCGTCGTCGTCGTCGTTGTCGACGTTGCTGTCGCATACTCGTAATCTGTTGGAATGGTTAGAAATCGAGACAGCCTTCAGACGGAGTGTTTCGACGGGTATAATTACGAATTTGAATCACATCGAGAACTTTTCTGAACGCGGCATAATGCTCGAGTAGATGGTGCTGAATCTCGCCAGAAACGATTGTCTCAAAATCAATGTTGTATTCACCAGAGAATTCGTATCGCAGACGAAGGTCGCGTACAAAAGCGTTGCCATAAGAAACATGCAAATTTTGCCAACCACCGATTTGACGGAGTGGTACAACGGACGTGTGAATGAGAAGATTTTGAATTTTTTGGAGGAATTTCAGGAACGCGACAGCGGCTGGATTTTGTCACGGATATCGAATCTCGTGGTGAACATCAACAAGTGCAATCCCTTTCACGCTGGCTGTTGGATCATACTCCCCAAATGGGTCAAGGACAAGAAAAGTACGAAGAATGTGCATTCGTCGGATGGGGCATGTTTTACGTGGGCGGTAATGGCCGCTCTGTACGATCTCATGAGCAGGCGCGGCGACAAAAGTGCCGACTATACTCACTATTCAGCGGTGTTGAATTTCGACGGAATCCATTTTCCGATGGATCTCAAACATATAATGAGATTCGAGCGTCTAAATCAGATATCGATTAACGTGTTCACCGAGCGCGAGAAGAAACAACAGGGGCGAGGAAGAAACAGGATCGTGCCGTTGCGTCTTACCGACAACAAGCAAGACAAACACGTTAATTTGCTCTATATACACAACCAGCAGAAGCAACAGTAACACGACGATATCGGATACTATATATTGATAAAGCATCTGTCGAGACTGTCTCAGCTCAACAAGACGGGAAAGAAGAAATACATTTACGAACGGTAAGTCGTCTTTTTACGAAATAATAAAAAAGTGGTAATTTTTGCTAATGTAAAAAAAAAATGTTCTATTTTAGTTGCTTGCATTATTTTCCCTCGGAGGAAAAATTGTCACGTCACCAGGTCAATTGTGGAAAAATAAACGACTGTACCGTTGTTCTTCCCGATGACAAGGACAAGTAGTTGCTATTTCATGATCGTAACAGAAAGGAAAAATTGCCCTTCGTCGTGTATGCCGATATGGAATGCATTCTGGAGAAGCAGTTGTTCGACGAGACCGTCAGAGCTTATTCTTATCAGCATCATCGCGTGCACAGCGTGGGGTTCTACATACGATGCGCTCCCGATATTCGAGGATTAGAATCCGTGTACAGGTCGCACCGCGATGAATAGTTTGTCGGTGAACTGAGGAAATTCACCGTGAGAGTGCGAACGCTGCCGAACGCCAACAGAGCGATTTTCGGATCTTAGCGACGCAGATTTTGCGCTTCTCACACGTAAGGGAGTCTTCCCCTACAAATACGTGAATAGTCCGTTTAAACTGTGGGATACCGTTTTGCCACCGCGCAAGGATTTCTACAGCTCGTTGACGGGTGAGACCGTGTCCGTTAGCGATTACGAACACGCGCGAGAGGTCTGGAATCGCTTTCGCATCGACGATCTCGGCCAATTCCGCGATCTCTATCTCAATACGGATGTTTTGAGCGGTTGTGTTTGAAAATTTTTGCGACAAATGCATCGAGAATCACGAATTGGATCCCGCGTATTATTACACACTGCCGGGCTACGCGTGGTACGCGATGCTGAAGTACACGGGAGTGAGGATGGAGTTATTCACGGATATCGATATGCTGATATTTATGGAACGCGGGATGCGCGGCAGATTGAGTCAATGTTCGGGCAGGTATGCGAGAGCTAACAATATATTCGCACCCAAATACGATTCGAAGAAACCGATGACGTATCTTATGTATTATGACGTGAAAAATTTGTATGATTGAGCGATGTGCGAACCGTTGCCGTACGCAAATTTCGAATGAGTCGAGGGTGATGTCGAGAATTTCGACGTGATGTCCGTGCCGATTGACTGTGAGACGGGCTACGTTTTCGAGGTCAATCTCACCTATCCGCGCGATTTGCACGATTCCCACGCGGATTTGCCGTTTTGTCTCGTGCACGAGGTACCTGCGTGCACTGGAAGGGAGAAAAAAAGAAAAGGTAAACAATTTCTCGCCACTCTACACGACAAGAGCCACTACGTGATTCGCTATCGTAATCTGCAGCAGTGCGTAAGGCACGGAATTCGTTTGATGAAGATTCATCGCGTCTTACGATTCTCGCAGTCTCCGTGGCTTCGCAGTTACATCGAGCTCAATACGGGCTTCTGGAAGAACGGTCGAACAAATTCGAGAAAAATATGTAGAAGCTCATGAACAATGTCGTGTTCGGTAAGACGATGGAGAACATGCGCAAGCACGTGGACGTTCGATTGATAACTCGCTGGGACGGTAGATATGGGGCCGAGGCGATGATCGCGAAACCGAATTTTCACAGCAGAAGCATTTTCTCGGAAGACCTCATGGCCGTGGGATTGCGCAAACTCGAGGTCAAAATAATGAAACCCGTGTACATTGGCATGTGCGTATTCGAGATATCAAAAACACGTCTCTACGAATTTCATTACGATTATATGAAATTGTTGCATGGCGACAACTGCAGGATCATGTACACAGACACCGGTAGTCTTGTGTATTATCTCGAGTGCGAGAACGCTTACGAGCTGATGAGGCGTGATATCGCGAGATTCGATACGAGCGACTATCCTCCCGACAATGCATACGATATGCCGCGCGAGAACAAAATAGTACCAGGATTGATGAAGGACGAGAACAACGACGTGATTATGATCGAATTCGTGGGCCTGAGATCGAAGACGTACGCGTATCGAGTGAAGGGTCGGGACGACACGAAGAGAATTAAGGGCATCAATAAGAATGTGGTCGCGCACGAGATAACTTTCCTCGATTACGTCGAGTGTCTGTTGGAAGCGAAAGAACAGACGAAGCGTCAGTCCGCCGTGCGTTCAGTGCTCCACAATGTTTACACGATATCGGAGTTGAAGCTAGTGTTGAATCCATACGACGGTAAGCGTTACGTCATACCCGAAAAATCGCACGAAACTCTGCCGTGGGAACATTATGCAATGGAGGCGGCGGCGGCGGAAGAGCAAAAATATCGATTGATAAGAATAAAAAAAATGTATACATTGAGAGAGAGAGAGAATAAAAGGAAAAAATGAAATTATGTGTTTGTTTTTTCAGGAATCATCTGAAAATTTTTTAGCAAAAAAGAAACATATATTTGAAACATATATAAGAAGAAAATGTAACATAAATTTTCAGTTTTTACAGAAAAAATGTCATTCAATCAAGATCGTGTGTCTAAAGAAACCGCACCGTTCTTATTGCGGCGACGATGACGCTCGGTGAGATCGCCGTCGGTTGGATTCACTGTCATCAGTCAGCCACACAATTCGCTGCAAGAGATCGCGTAATTGTTGCAACAATCCCTCCTTCGGACAACTTATTCCGATCGTTTGGAAATCAAAGGTTTCTGCGGATACGATGCTTTCGTTGAATTCGTATCGGTAGTATTGATTCTTTCCGAAGATAACCGTCGATGTAACGAAAGGCTGAGGAAATATCCTGAAGTACTCCGGGAAATATCGTTTGAAGATTATGGTATCTGACGATTCTGGTGGCGATGCAATCGTCGATTTCGCCCACTTATCGTTGTAGATAACAAAACTCTGTCCTCTGTAAGTGTTCATCGCCGCGTTGATCTTCGCATTCGTCGGCAATCCGAAATCGGTGAACGATCTCTCCTCTATCAATCTTTGATTGGAAAATTCGGTGTATACTTTATTGTCGGCGAACAGAACGATATTCCCCGAAGGTTTTTAATAAGCTGCCGAAAAAGTAGTAAAATTTTCCAGAAGAAATTTCAAATATTCCGTGATCAGTATCGGTTTTTGATAGGATTTGCCATTCATATCGATCGATCACACGCGACGACCACTGGCGATAAATATTCATTTATTGATGATCACTAGGACATATATGCAATGCATGGCGCACAGATCTGCCTCGTAGTCGTTGTTGTCGTCGTCGTAGTCGTCATTTTCTCTCGTCGTCCTCGTAGCAGGAGTCGTCACTGACGGCCGCGTAGTCGTCGCCGCCGATGTTTCACCGTATAATTGTTCACCGTATAATCACCGTATAATTGTTGAATGTTGAGTATCCTCCAGATACTGGAGATATCCAGATTGAGTCTCATCGGAAAAATGGGTCGTTCTGGCGCAAACGCGTACATCACCGAACCTTTGCGTTCGCTGTGAGACAATCCTAGGGCGTGGCCGATCTCCTGTATCAATATGTATAACAGACTGTATTTCTTTGAGGGATTTTTATTGATCTTTATATGCCATGATTCCGCTCTGTCGATATGCACTTCTGAGACGTGATCGACACCTCCGGTGGGATAATTCGCGTGAGCAAGCACGCCGCCAGGTCCGTCCAGCGGTGTGAGGCACGCGGCGCCGTTCGGTCGCACAAACACGTGAGAACCCTCGCGAAACGACAGCAGGATGTTAGGATGCGAAATATTGCGGTCAAATATCAACGACGAGTTCCCCGTGTCCCCGTGTCGAAAGCAGCTCTCGTCGTCTTCAAAATGTTCTCGCTGGCCAGATGAAAATTCCACGTGATAAATATCGTCGGCCACATCGGTGTCAGCGAGTTCATCGTTTCGTTAGAGATATCTTTGAGACCGCATCGAGGTTTTTTCATTAAATCTAACATAATGTTGTTCAGTTCTCCCTTGCTTGCGATTCGATACATTTCTTGATATAGAGCGAATGCTTGTCGTAGAAGTTCCTCCATCTCAATCTTCCTCTCCTATGCATTGTTGGACGTGATCGAATCAAACACGTTTTCTTGCAGATAACCGTACTTTTGCAGATATCGAATCGCTAACTCGACGTCGTCGTCATAATCGCCAAAAGGTCGCGGTGTCAGTTTTCCGTCAACACTTCCGGCGGCGGTGAAAGCTGCTGCAATGCGAAACGCGACCACAACACTGGCGATAACGACAAAGACAAGTGTCCTTGTCATTATTATCGCGGTCGTAATATTTTCTCTTCCTCCTCCTCTTCTCACACCGACGATTGCAACGCGAATGAAAGTCCATACGATTACGCGAGTCACGACAGAAACGGAGGTGGAAATCGATGGTCGGAGGAGAGGAAATCGATGATCGTCGATCACAAGACGTTCCACTTGTGAATCCAGGAATTGTGCGATTCATCGAAACCTAATCACTTCACGTATACACGATCGCCGCACCTGCGCAAAACTTTTTCCACGAGATAAACGTCAGGATGAGCGGTTCGCTGCAATTCGTGCTCGTAGAATCCTCCCTCTATCGCGTTTCCTCGAAAATCTTGCAGCAGATACGTCACCGGATTCGTTCGTTGCACTCTGGCCACCTTGAAGATTTCCGTAGACCAATTGGACGTGTGGCCTTTCTCGAACATCGTTTCGAATCTGCTCACACGAACTGGATCGTCGATCTTGAATCTCCCGAAAGGAACTATCTTTGCGTTACTGTAGACTGTGGCCAGAAGAACCCGGGCGTTTTTTCGCGTCACCTCGATCGGTCGCATCCCGACCGTACGATGCCTACGAGCGTTGTAATCCGACAGCAGTTGCGGCAATGCATCGATCCATCTGTACGATCCGTTGATCGTGAACAATTTCCACATATTATTCTTCAATGTCCGATTGAATCTTTCCACTACGGATGCCTTCATCACCGAATAGGTCGAAGTGATTTATGCCGCGTCTCGTGAGAACTTTTCACACATCGGCGTTGTAGAATACCTTCTTTTTGTCTGTTTGCAAATTTGTCGAACATCGTTCGCCGCGCACGAGCCCCGATAATTTCGCGGCTACTTCCGCTCCGTTCTTGCTCTTGAGCGGTATCGCTCACGCGAGTTTGCTCAATACGTCGATCACGGTCAAAATGTAATTGTGCCCTTTGTTCTGTCGAGCGTAGGGACGCATCTCCACCACATCGGCTTGCCACAGATCGTCGTAACCGCAAGTTTTCGTTTCTCCACACTTATCATTTTTTTTCTAATATTTTCCCACTAAATAATTCACACTCAACGCTATGTGATCCATAACGCTCTACAACGTTTTTATATCCTCATTTATTTTATCCGATTCCTCCTGCGTCGCCAGGGATGATTTATTCAATTCTTGAAGCAGATCGTTTTTCATTTTCGACGAAACGTCCTTTACCTTTAGACCTACGCCTTCGATTTGCGCGACGATGTTCTTCAGTTTCTGAATCAGGTCATTAATTACCTTTTCCTGCAAAAAATTGGGTATCTCTTGCTGATAAGTGTCGATTTTTCCTTGAATAGTAACGATATTTTCGAGAATGTTGTAACAACCGTACTCCGCGTGTCGGTTGATGTCGATGCCACGGATTTATTCGCTCGTCGGAGTCCGGGTTCGTGAAATAAGATGACGCGGATTGTAATAAGCAAAAATAACAAAAAGATTTATTCAGCCTTGGTACAGAGTAGTCGCGTATTAGTATACAGTTCTCCTGGGTGACGGCGCCAGTTACCGGGTCGCGGTTTCGGTAGGCCGCGGCAGGTAAGTCGGTAGGCGGAGAGTATAGCGCGAAGGCTAGGCTCGCCGCGGAGATTCGGCAGGCGGTTGCGTGTCTCGATTCGATGGTCGCGATTCGTGCACGACTCGCGAGGTTGGTCGCGGGGACCGCGCGGTGTCGGCGATATCGACTCCGTGTCCCAGCACGGCACGCTGTCTTCGCGATCTTGGCGGAGACGCGCTCGTTCGCACGTCCGCGTCGCAAGAGACGGGATGGGGAGTGAGTAGCCGATGTATCGGCGTATTCACCCCCGATCTCGCTCGTCGAAAGGCTGAGAACAAGGGTCGAGAAAGCTCGACAGAGCGCAGCTAACTTACTGGCTTCGGTCCTTGTTCGGGGAGTCGACGGGATGCAAACAAGAGTCGATAAAGATCGACAGAGCGCAGCTAACGTACTGGCTTCGGTCCTTGTTTGCAAGGATGTGATATTTGGCAGGTTGAGGAAGCAGATACGAGTCGGTCGTAGGCCTTGCTCTCTGCTGTGTAGCATCGAGTTCGGTTGACGATCCGGATCTGTCTGGTCTCGATTAATTTGGCGTCGCGGATTATATACTTGACGCCGCTTTGTCTTCACTCACTGTACACGTGCTTGTCGCGTGCCCGCGGCGCTCGCTCTCTATCGTTTCTTTTGTGTAACGCTGTGCTCGCGTTATCGCGTGTTTCTCGCTTGCTTTGTTTACGCTTATTGTCAGCTGTTTACGCGTTTTGTCTATTAGGCCTTACGGCGTTTATGTTGGTGTAACGCACCGGTGCACCAACCGGCCCGACTGATGGTCGGTCGGGCCGGAGTAGTGACGATGCAGGTGTGCATCGTTACATCATCCCCCGTCTTAGGGCGGGTCGTCGGGGAGTCTCTGGTAGGCCCGTAGTTGTCCTACCCTATTGAAACGGAGCATCCATCGCCTCTCCGGTATTCGTAACCGATACCGGCGGGACACATGTACCGCGAAGTGTGGTATATTCGCTACTAGGCCCGAGCGCAGCTCCACGGGTATCGGTGGCGGTAGCGACGGAATTATTCGGAGCGGTTCCGTCGTTGCTCGGTCGGTTGCCCGTTTGGTCGCTGTGCCTGGTCTCTCTCTTGGCAGCTCGTTTGCTGTTGTCGCTTTCCCTGGCCTGCTTCCTGCTTTCGTTACTGGCGGTGTTTTTTCTGATGGTGGTGCTGCGGTCGCTGCTGGTGTTTGTGTTCCTGCCGGTGCTGGTGGCGGTGCTGCTCTCTCTGTTGCCCGTGTTGCGCATGCCGGTTGTAATTGCGCTGTTATTTTGCCGGTTTTCCTTGTGACGGCGGCGCGCCCTGGCGGTGGGGGCGGCGGGCCGTAAGAAAGATTGCCTTTCTTTTTTGTGTGGCGTCCGATCGCTGTGTGTTGATCGGTGCTCTCGTCTCGGTTGTCGTTGCCGGCTTTTCAGTTCTCGCCCTTTTCCCTGGCGGCGGCTCTGTCGTTTTCGTTGTCGGTTTCTGAGGCGGCTGGTCGTCCTCTGGTGTCGTCGGCGGTGGTGGTGCCGACGGCGATCGAGGCTGCGGTGCCTCGGTTTCCTCGTTGTCCGAGGAAAGAAGTAGATCTGTCCAGAGGACGTCTATTCTTTCGATGTCGTACGCTTTTTGAGTCGGCATCTTTCCTGATTGCTGTCTTGCTAGCAAGTGAGACTTTCTTTGTTGTGTCGTTCATTTATGTGTTGCTTATCGCATCGTCCTCGTCGTCCTCCTCGCCGTTGTTGTTCTGCGGCTTTAGGTCCTGAATGTGTATGTGCCGGTGCCATCGACCGTTTTTATCTTTTAGGTCGACGACAACCGGCGATATTATTTTCCTTACTGTCATTGGCCCTGCGTCGAGACCACCGAAAATGGGCGCTAGCTTTGCGTTAAAGGCTTTTGCCTTATTTGATAGCGGGTATTCTCTTTTCCAGACCTTTTCGTCGATTTTTGGCTTCCAGTTTCGTCGTCTTAAATTATAATATTTCTCTTGTCGTTGGAACGCTCGAGCCAGATTTATTTGTACCAGCTCGTACGCTTCTCTCAGCCGTTTTTGTCGCGTCGCTGGTTCCTCACTTCCGTCAATTTTATTCGGCGTGATGGTTTTCGCCCGTAATTTAGGTATGCGGACGAGTAGCCTGTGGACTTCTGTACTGCTGTGTTGTATGCAAACTGCAGGGCCGGCAGATGTAAGTCCCATTTTCGGTGGTCTCGACTTACATATTGTGCCCCCATTGTTTTTACGACCCTGTTGGTTCTTTCCACTGGGTTGCAATGGGGTGCATGGACGAGGGTGGTGCGGTGTTTTATGTTGTGCGTTGTGAGCATCTGTGCTAACCGCTGGGATTTCAATTGGGTGTCGTTATCGGAGATGATGGTCTGGAGGCAGCCATGTCTGTATATAATCGCGTCAGTCAGTGTCTGCGTCACGATGTTCGCCGTCGCCCGCCTTATTGGTCGCATCTCCAGCCACTTCGTGAATCGGTCCTGCATTGTCAGGATCCACGAGTGGCCGTTGTTTGATCGCGGTAAGGGGCCAATGAGATCTATGGTGACCTGTTGCCATGGGCCCCCTACCGCGGTCGCGTGCATTCGCCCGGCTGGTTTTACTTGCTGTGCTTTATGGGCCAGGCAGTTTTCACACGTTTTTACATATTTCGCAATTTCTTTGAACATGCTTGGCCAGTAAAACCGCCGGGCTATGCGGGCAATGGTCTTTGCTACTCCCAGGTGGCCGGCGGTGGGTTCGTTATGATATTTTTTCAATACTTCTACTCTATCCTCTTTCGGTACGCATTCTTTCCACTGCTCTTCTGCTCGTGTTTCCTCGAAATCGAGGTTGTGGAGTATGTGCCTCATTAGTTTTCCCCATACCACTTTATAGTCTGGTCGCGTGTTTGGTTCCTCGGCCACCTGGGATTTTAATTTTTGATACCATTGGCATGCGGGGGTGACGGTACATATTTGTGGTTGTTTGGACAGGGCGTCCGCGACCGTATTTAGACTGCCTCACCGATATTGAATCTCAAAGTCGTATTGTTGCAGCTCGATGATCCATCGAGCTAGTCTCCCTGTTGGCGTCTCCACTTTCTGCAGCCACCGGAGGGACTGGTGGTCTGTAATGACCATAAATCTGTATCCCTCCAAGTAGTCGCGGAGGCGCCTTATTCCCCATACCACGGCGAGGCATTCCAGTTCGGTCGCACTGTAATTTCGCTCTGCCCTGTCCAGGGTCCGGTTTGCATACACGATTACCCGTTCTTCGCCGTCCAGTTGCTGTGTGAGTACCGCGCCTAAACCCTCCGTACTGGCGTCTGTTTGGATGACAAATTTTTTCGTTAAGTCCGGGCATGCCAATACCGGTGTTGTTGTTAATTTCGTTTTAAGCTCTCTAAATGCCTTTTCCTGTTCTTTTCCCCACTTCCACTTCGCGTTTTTGCATAGCATTGTGGTCAGTGGGACGGCCAGGGTAGAAAAGTTTGGTATGAACCTCCTATACCATGATGCTAATCCTAGGAACTGTCGAACTTTCCGCACGGTACTCGGTATTGGCCAGCTTTTAATTATATTAATTTTTTTCGGGGTCTGTTTGGATCCCCTTGTTGTTTACTACGTGTCCTAAATACTTTAGCTTTTCCACGCAAAACCGACATTTCTCTTCATTTATTTTTAAGTTTGTTCCCGCAGCCGGCGGAACACTTCTTTGAGGTGTTTCAAGTGTTCCTCAAACGTCCGGCTTATGATAATTATATCATCCAAATACACCAGTACGTTTGGTTCCAGCTCGGGGCCCAGTACCCGGTCTAACAATCTTTGGAACGTCGCGGGCGCGGCGTGTAAACCAAACGGCATTACTCTGAATTGCAGCAATCCCTTCCCTGGTACGGTGAATGCGGTTAACGGTCGGCTCGAGGGGGACAGTGGTATTTGCCAATACCCGCTTTTTAGGTCTAATGTTGATAGGTATTTAGCTCCACGCAGCTTATCGAGCGTTTCCGTTATGTGCGGCAGTGGGTATGCATCCTTTTCTGTAACCTCATTTAATTTACGGAAGTCTATGCAGAATCTATGTTTCCCATCTTTTTTCTTGACCACTACCACCGGTGAGCTCCATGCGCTTTGTGACGTTTCGATTATCCCCTCTTTTAACATTTCTTCTACTTCTTTATTTATAATTGCCTGCATTGCCGAATTTCGGAGTCGGTATCTCTGTTTGATCGGTCTTGTGTCTGTCAGTCTTATGTGAGTTGTATATGTTTGGTTGGTCCTTGTATTTGTTTAAACATATTTAATTCCCTTGCTAAGAATTGCTTTAACATCCTGTCTTCTATTTCTGTCCGTTGCGTCAGTCCTTTGTCTATTATGCATGTATTTACTAGTGTTTTCGGTTCTGTGCGTGGCGGCGGTGGTAACGTTAATTGTAGGTCAGCCCATAGGTCTGTCCCGATGATCATTGCGCAACCGAGGTTTGGTAAAACTCTCAGTTGCCGTTGATAATCTTTGTTTTGTATTCTCATTTTTACTTGTACCGTCCCTGTTACTTCTGTTGTTATTCCATTAGCCAGTCTAACGTTATCGTCTGTCTTGCGTATTTTTAGTTGTAGTTGTCGCGCTGTCTCGGGTTTTATAAAGGATGTCTCCGACCCCGAGTCGAGTAGTGCCTCTATTTCTTGTCCGTTTATCCTTACTTTGATAAACGGTCTCGGCGTGTATCTTATTGGGCTTTACTGGGCCGAGTTTCCTTCTGGTACTCGGCCCGCTGCCCGTTTCCCGGTCGCGAATGGCACTCCCTTATAAGTACGTCGTCCTTGCCACATTGCGAGCAGAACTTCCGTGGTGGTCTTTTGCAGTTAAACCTGCTATGTCCCTTTTGTTTGCACCGCCAGCAACACTCGTCCTTGTTATAGGGCGCTGTTGCTGCTGGCGGTATTTTTGGCTGTAAGTTTTGATTTTCTGGTTTTCTCTGATTTCTTTCTCTTATTTGCTGCTCTATCTGCTCGACTTCCGTTACTCTCGTTCGTAGCTCGCCCAAACTGTCCACCTCGTCCGGTCTTATAAATCGTTTCATTTCGGGGAGCATGTTCTCATAGAGGAGGTCGAGCTGTTCTTTTGCCGACCATCCGCCCGCTCTTCGCACGAGTTTGAGCAGATCGTTGGCGTAACTCCGGCTCTCCCTCCTTCTGTTCGCGCCCCCTTGCTTGTCGCCGCATTCTTACTTGGGACTTCCGCGGTATGTATTCCGCTTCGAAGTCGCTGCGAAATTCTTCCCACGAATGCCAATTCTCGCGACCATTCCGGAACCACGTTAGAGCCTCGCCTCTCAACATTTCCGGTAGCCCTCTTAGTAGGTATTCGCCTGTGTATCCATATACCTGGCTCAATTCCTTGACTCGTTCCAAAAACGAGTGGGGGTCGCGTCCATCAAAGTGGCAATCCCATTTCCTTATTTGACTCATTACCTTTGCGACTGATTCCCCCGGCTCTATCGTTGTAGCGGAATCGTTGCCCCTTGGCATTGCGTCCTTGTTCTCGGTTACTGTGCCGTTTACCCAGTTACTATTATTCGCGTCTGTAAATAATTCCGGTTGTCTTTTCGCTAATTGTACGAGTCGTTGCCTTAGATCCTTGAATGTTCCCTCCGTATCTACGTTTTGTTTTTGTAGATGTTCTGTAATCTCGTTTTTTGATAACTTATAAATCCACGACGTCATTAGTACTCTGTACTCGGGCTTTCTCTGTCTTATTTCGCGTCTTTATCTGTTCGGGCGCCAATGTAACAACCGTACTCCGCGTGTCGGTTAGTGTCGATGTCACGGATTTATTCGCTCGTCGGAGTCCAGGTTCATGAAATAAGATGACGCGGATTGTAATAAACAAAAATAACAAAAAGATTTATTTAGCCTTGGTACAGAGTAGTCGCGTATTAGTATACAGTTCTCCTGGGTGACGGCGCCAGTTACCGGGTCGCGGTTTCGGTAGGCCGCGACAGGTAACTCGGTAGGCGGAGCGTATAGCGCGAAGGCTAGGCTCGCCGCGGAGATTCGGCAGGCGGTTGCGTGTCTCGATTCGGTGGTCGCGATTCGTGCGTGACTCGCGAGGTTGGTCGCGGGGACTGTGCGGTGTCGGCGGTATCGACTCCGTGTCCCAGCACGGCACGCTGTCTTCGCGATCTTGGCGGAGACGCGCTCGTTCGCACGTCCGCGTCGCAAGAGACGGGATGGGAAGTGAGTAGCCGATGTATCAGCGTATTCACTCCCGATCTCGCTCGTCGAAAGGCTGAGAACAAGGGTCGAGAAAGCTCGACAGAGCGCAGCTAACTTACTGGCGTTGAGCGACGTTATCTTCTCGGCGATTTCGTGCGCAAAATTCTTGAACGAATCGACGATCATAGTCTCGATCTCGTGCTTGACAACGTAAACGGTGCTCGTAAACCTCTAGACGTTGCATCGAAATCATCCTTCGGCTCGACTAGGTTACGAATTCTGCGCGATTTTGCATAGTAATTTCTCTCCTTCTCGCCGTCCGTATTCGACGAAGATAACAACGTGAATTCGCGCACAAAATTTTTCAACATTTTGATCGGCAATCACGACTGTTCCGCATAGTTGTAGTCGTTGTAACGCCTTCTCAATGACATTCCAAATTTATTAACTGCCATTGCGCGAGCGCGTATAAAAAGTGATTAATTCAGTATTATTTCTGCCTCGCAAAGCTCCTCTAATATTGAGATAATTTCGTTATCGTGCGTATTGTTGCCAACTTGACGCGATGCGTCGAACAACTGAAAGCGATTCACCAATTGGCGTCGTCCCAATGCACATAATCCACTCTCTTGTCTGCTAATGTCATCCTTGAAGATGGCGGCGGCAGCGGAGGCGGCGTCAATGGTAGCGCGACGCCAATGACCACTGCTGCCAACGCCGCTGTCGTGTCACTCGCTGATCGCGTTCACGATCGTTTTATAAGCGTAGCGATAATATGACTTCATTTGTAACCTTTTTTTTTCATTGCAGGATTGATGACTGCGTTTATGCGCGGCCGTCAATATCTTTATGTATGTCTTCAGATCGTTTTTCTTGAAAATCAATTCATTGGGTATTCTCTTGAATATCAATTCGTATAGTCCGGGCATGCCTGTGTGCGTCACATCGCCTATAGTCACGGAGTCTTCGTTAACGCGAAAAGTTTTGTTTCCGAGCATCATGACACCCTTGTCGTTCATGTACATAAACGTTTCATACTATAAACGTGTTCCAACTCGCGACTCGAGTGGCCCCTGAGAAATAGATTCACATATTTGCTTCTCAAATGTCCCCACGTCGGCGGCGATCTCTCCGGCGTAACAGACACGCGATCGAGTCTGTCGTCTCTAGTCTCGAAAAATACATCTTCCTCCACACCGTTTTTGGTGGCATCGTGCTTCTTAGCCGTGACTGTAGTCACCGCTGCTGACGGTAAATCAGCAGATTTTAAGGAAGAATCGATAACTGCGGAGACGTTATCGTACTCGTCCTTGTAATTCTTTCCCTTGAATTTTCTCTTGCCGAGAAGCATCAGTGCTCTGTCGATTCTCGATGATTCTATTTCAACAGTTTGTTTTGCGATCTGTTTAAGAGGTTCGACGATAGGCTTGAATTGTTTCTCCAACGCAATTTCACTTTCCGTCGCACCGGTTTTCCTGTGTTTTCGATGAATCGATTCTCGCGTTTTCGCGATTTGCCTCGCAGTTTTTTCCTGCGATTCGAAGCGGCGATGCTGCTCGTTCATCGTACTCATCGTCGTCATCGTTGACTAAAGAGAGAGAAGGTCACGGTGAGACTGATTTTCTCTTTTTTCACAGCACCACGAAATCGTTGAAACCGTGTCTGTATCGACCGTTCTGTAACGTGATATCTTTGTCTATCGTTAGGAAATAGTGTTTGCGTCGCCAACACTCTCGACACAGAGTACGAAAGCCTTCGTGTGACATATCGGTGTTCACGTGATCGCTGTAGATGTGTTTCAGATTGGTGTCGTCCTGCTTAAACAGCAGCAACAAATTCGCATTGTTGCGTACTAAATGTTTGAGTATTCTGGCGTACGTTTAATTGAAATAAAAGCAGTCGATGTCGCAGTGCCGTCCCATGGCGAAATATTCTCTGATCGGCTCCTGGTTGTTGCAGATAAAATCGTCGAATACAACGATCGAATTCGGAAGGATCTCGTTCGGCGGTATAACATCCTGACTGTTGAAGAACTCGTAATATTCGATTTCGTCTATTGCATCAAACAATTCCTTGAAATATTGGTACTTTAACTGATGCAATGATTTCGAGTACATGTAGAGATTTTCAAGTCGCACTCTGTGCGAACTCTCAATAAGACTAATCAGAACATTCGTTTTTCCGCAATTAGACGGCCCGCATATGATATAGCGAATCGAATTGGGTAACGGATCGCCATACTTACGAATGCTTTTCGCCATCATTGAATCAGATATCAGCGATATCTTGCAATCGAGATTTGTCACTCTAATCGTTCGCGATTGGTGAATGAAACGCATTTGATAAAAATCACACGCATGCACACTGATCACCGATTTATCTATCCTTCTCCTCTTCCTCCACAACTAGACAAAAACTATTTTATACTCAATCGCGTGCAGGGACGCTACAGAGAAAAACGTATGTCATTCCATACGCGAATAAACGTGATATTCTCGGTTTGACTAGCGAACAGTTGGAATATATTGCGAAGATCGTTCTGGTGCGCGACTTTTCTGATTCAATCGGCTGTAGGACAGGTTACCCGAACACCTGAGAGCAGATCGGGAAATTTAAAAGGTTATCGAATCTATCTCACGCACTACAATCGTTCGTGGACGCGAACATAGATGGACCTGCGCCTTTCGTGAAACATTGCAGCGGATGTCAATAGGAACAACGAAGACGCGCCGAGGCACTGGACTCATTAACAGCGCTATAAATGCACTTTCGTTCGAACTGCACATTCCCGGATATCAATTTTGCGGACCAGACACTCGTTTGAGGAAGCGATTGGCGCGCGGCGATTCCGGCATCAATCCGTTAGACGCCGCAGACACGACATCGCCTATTCTCGGAGCAACGATCTTCGCGATCGACACGCGGCCGATCGGGAATTGGCCAAGAAAACACGCGCGCGCATAATTGCCAGTGACGTAAGACTCGGTGAACGACTCGCCGCGACGGCCGTATGGAGTACTATAAAGGCGAAAACTAAATTGGGCATGGACGTTGGTGCCAAGAGAAAAAAGGACGACGACGAAGACCAGGACAACGAACAGAACATGGAAACCGTTAGCGAAATGAGGAGGTTTATTACCGTTCCTCCCCTCATTAATCGGTGGTGCGGCTGGCGTGGCAAAAATGATAAACGACAGCAAGAGTACGCGTCGTCAATTGGAGGAGTTGCAACGACACAATGGCGCCATGGAGGGTCGTAGTCTTTATTTCGCGCCGTACCGCAGACAAAGTACGGATGCGAAAAAGACGAGGAAAAAACAAATATCGTGCAACGAAAAAATTAAAAAAAAAAAAACTTGGAACAAGACACTGACGACGACAACGAGTCTCCGGCTGCCCTTGTCCGGCGACCACGAACACACAGTTATACGCGTCCGCACGTTGTCAACGAATATCACATTTCAGGGACGTTTTCATGCGCGATGCGTTACCGCGGATACCACTGCATAACGAGTGCATCATCGTGAATCTCGACGACGCCACGTCACCGGGCACGCACTGGGTCGCTTGCGCCAAGTAGGGCGATAGAACCATCTTTCAATTTCAACAGTTTCAGAAATCTCAAACCTCCACTCGATATCAGGAAATATCTCGGACACAATGTGAGTCTTTCGTTAATTATCATCCTTATCAGACGTTCGATCAGAGCAATTGCGGTGTTTGCAATTTCTTCGTGAAATCGACTGGCAACGCTTCGAGACGAAATTGTGATCTCTCTCTCTTCGTCATCATGTCGTCGATGACGTTAACACTTTCGGGAAACAGTAGCGTGCTCACCGCAAAATATTTTCTCCCTTTGAATCTGAGCGACGGCGATTACGAATTGGGATTAATGAATTTAAAGACGTACAACATGGTACCGAACGTTACAACGGCAAACAACAAATTTTATATCGACGACGACGAATCTATCGCATTTCCCATTGGTTCGTCGATTCGAGAATTCATCGATATCGAGAAATACCTGAGATCGGCCATTCGACAACGAAGAGGGAAATCGAGAGGAATAAAAGAGAGCGATACGTTAGAAAAATACGTCATTTATTATTGTACAATACACATTGTATTAGTGTACAATACAGGTGACGATGAGGAAATGTCGTAAACGAGTGAGGATCGCTCGATCGTTCTTCGCGCAAACGAAAACATCCTGAGAAGCGAGATTTTGTGCGCCTATCGAATAGATTTCACAAAATCGAATAACATTGGCTCTCTTTTGGGTTTTTCCGCACGTATATTGTCTCCGAACATTTGGTACGTGAGAGACTAACCGATCGATATAATAAGTATAAATATCATTCGCGTAGAGTGCAACATCCCACGGGTGCTTACAACAACGACAGATTAGTTCACACGATCCATGAATTCTCACCGAAAGTTCCACCCGGATATAAACTATCGGTGAATCCGACGCAAATCATTAACATGCCGATCATCGCGAGAAGCATCAGTGACATTACTCTGAGCGTGGTGGATCAAGACACAAAATCGATAAATTTTCGCGGTGAAACAGTGACGATAAGAGTGCACGTGCGAAAATGAAATAAAAAGAACTTATGTTTGAAAAATAATAACAATATGCTTATTTGTGAAGGAACATGCTCGTTGTGAGTGATTTCTTCATCAAAAAAGAATCATCATCGATTGTCCCGCAGTCGCCGCGTGTACCTTCGTCGCCATCGTCATCGCCTCCTTCTTCCTTTTTTGCGAAAAAGAAAAAAACGCATGGAACAACGACGACGTCGTCGTTCAGCAAACTTAATGCAGCAAACATCGCCTTTCTACGATCATTGGGATTTCGGGTGAGAAACGAAACGACAACAACGTCATACTAACTGACATTCTCAATATCAAGAGCAGGCCGGTCTTTCACGATAGCGTCGTCAAGATCGAAACTCATACATACAATCTATACGTTAACACCACATTCGACTACAACGATGAAATACGAATACCTATTCAGCAACAGGATCTCTATATACTCCCATGCGACAGCTTTCTCTACATCGAGGGAAGACGAAATGTCGAGCCGAAAGATATTGCTTCGGCACCGCCTACCTTATCGAAGAGGTCAGATTCTCGATCAACTGCGTGGCATCTTGTCGTATCTTGACGAGATACGATAC